TTTAATATAGTTAATGTAACTGAAGCCATTTTTTAAAAAGATTTATTTATTTATGCATACAGAACTAGGGTACAGGCCAGAGGTGCAGGGATGGTGAGAGGATTCACCAGAGACAGAGTGAGGAGCAAAACAGATCAACTGATGAAGTCCACTGCTGAGGGAGCAGTGAGTGGGCCAGGAGAGGTCTGCTGAGCCATGTGGGTCACCTCCATGGTGGAGATCAGCCCTCAGGGGCTGAAGTGGCTTTAGCTTCTTAGTGCTGTGCTTTAATCCACTGCGCCATCAGAGAGGGCTCACTGAAGCCATTTTTAATGATCACTATGGTTACTGTGAGGTGACTCTAGCCATTTCCTAAAAAAAATACTGCAGTATGTAATTTCCTTTTTTTTTTTTTTTTTCCATTTGCTTTCTCTGGCATTCACGTTCATTGTGAGGCAGAGGAAGCTTGGAACAGAATGTGTTCTTCTAGTGAAATGTCATACTGTCACTACTCTATCAGATATTGGGAAGACTGAGAGTGGCACAAAGGATGGTGTTTGCTTTTCAATGGCTGGCATAGGTTTGTCCCTCTAGTGTCGGTGGTCTGTCTCTCTAGCTCAGCAGTCATTATCAGGAGAAAGGAGTAATAATCCCTTTTCCCCACCCCAAGAATTAACCAAAACTAAAAGATGTGTAGCTGATGAATTGTTAACTGTCTCTAGCTGCCATGTTCCTGCTGTGTGCCGTCAAAGTCCCTGAGGCTGTGTCCGACATGCTGATGTCTGAATTCCACCACCCAGAGACCGTACAGAGGTTGAATGCCGTCCTGAAGTTCCACACGCTCTGGAGGTTTCGCTACCAGGTCTGGCCCCGGATGGAGGAGGGAGCACAGCAGATTTTTAAGGTAACAGACAATTACTGCAGGGAGCATTAGATTAGCAAACAACTCAGGTCTTGTTTCAGTCTTTGAACCTGAAATCCCCTATGTATGGCCCAAGAGATGCTTTATTCCCTCTCTCTCGGTATATAAGTTAACCTAACTCAAATATGCATAAATTCTTATTGCTAAAACAACTGAAGAGTATAAAGTAAGAAATCATGTCTCTATGAGCTATAAGATCGCATTACCGTCCCTGATATTTAGTATATAAAATTCGAGAGTACTGTCTTCCAGAAATTTTGCTGTATCTACGTAAGTAGAAGGTTTTTTGAGGGTGAAGTGATTAACACATTCAGAGATCACAAGTAGAGATCTCTTAGAACACACACAGAGATCCGTCAGTTGAAGTCCTTCATTATATTAATAAGTTAACTGAGGCCTGGAGAAGGTCATCCTGTGCGCTGTAACATTCTGTGCTTTATAAATTATGCCACAAATGTAATTTAGACTCATCCTAGCTAATGTTTCATCTGACCTTATTATTCTGATGCCAATTAACAGATCCCACCTCCCAGTATAAACTTCACCCTGCCCTCACCAGTGCTTGGAATGCCATCTGTTCCAATGTTTGACCCCCCGTGGGTACCCCAGTGCAGTGGCAGTGTCCAGGACCCCATTAATGAAGACCAATCTGTAAGTAACAGACACTTTCTTTACCATTTCTCCATGGGGTACATGGAAGAGAGGCCAACTATAATTGTGTGAAAAATTTATGCATTCTTTTCATAAGGTTACACAGTTGTAATAACAACACAGAAAATTAGCCACAAGCAATCTTTGTTCTTGTAAAAAGAAGGAACTAACATCTGGTACTAAGTATTTGTAAATGTCCACACCAACAGGTTTTTTTAAAATATAATCACAGCAGCAATCACCCTATAAAGCATTTTTTAAAATTATTCATCAAGGGCCCTCCCTGGTGGCGCAGCGTGTTAAAGCACGGCACTAAGCTTAAGCCACCTCTGCATGAGTTCGATCCCCGCCTGCCCAGGAGGTGACCCACATGGCACCGCAGACCTCTCCTGACCCGCCTGCTGCTTCCCTCAGCAGTGTACTCTGTCAATCTGCCTGTTCTGCTCCCCTCTCTGTCTCTGGTGAATCCTCTCACCCTCCGCATCTCTGGCCTTGTACCCCAGTTCCGTATGAATAAATAAATAAATCTTTAAAAAAATTTTTCATCGATTTCTTGGCCCAAAGTAATACATTTATTTATCATAAACAAATATATTTAACCTATAATATGTAAGCTGTCCAAAAGTTAGTGATATTCACTATGAATGAATAAGAAAAAGCACTCAACTTGCAGCCCTTGCTTCTTGTTTGGACCTTAGTCTTATCCATTCAGATTAATGGGTGTTATTCTTTAATGCCACTTTGACTGTCAGAAAACAAAGTTAATTTATTTTTGATTCTCACTTCTTTTAAAAGTTAGTTGAATATATGAAGTTAGGTTAAATATTTTATATGTCACATATTTTCTAGGCATTTGTAGATTTTTTGAGAACTGTTTCTTTGAACTCTTTACCCTTCAAAATATTTTAATTCTTCTACCTACAGTATCATGGCAGAGAGAGGCATAGCGGTTTCTTCTCTCATATACACAGTGGCTCCAGCATTTGAATCGCTGGGATAAGAATTCTCATAAGAGCTATATAGATTTAGATAATAGGATGGATTTATTTGTGCCAAGCAGAATCTCTATCCCAAGTTTACAGTAAATTTGAAACCAAGTCCACTGATTCTTTTTTTTTTTAAAGAATTATTTATGCATACAGAACTGGGGTACAGGCCAGAGGTGCAGGGGTGGTGAAAGGATTCACCAGAGACAGAATGGGGAGCAGAACAGGCAGATCTACAAGGTACACTGCTGAGGGGAGCAGCGGGCCGGTCAGGAGAGGTCTGCTGTGCCATGTGAATCACCTCCGGGGTGGGGATCAAAGTCGTGCTGAAATGGCTTTAGCTTCTCAGTTCTGTGCTTTAATCTACTGTGCCACTAGGGAGGGCCCATCCCCTGATTCTTACCCAGTTCTCTTTCTCTCATTCTACAAATCTTTTTTTTTTTATTTTTACATCATTTTGTACATTTTTTTTTCCCATCTCATTTGTAATCCCTGCGGGTTTCCCATTACCAAGTCACCCGTGTGCCATCACCATAATCCCATGCACTTCCCTCCCCCCCCAGTTTTTGATCCCATTCCCCACTCCACCCCCACAAAATATCTCTGGTATATGGTTGTTCATTATTCTTGTTATTTTCTCGCCTGGTCCATTATACTCCTGCTATGAGTGAAACCAGCCAGTATTTTTCTTTCTCTTTCTGGCTTATCTCACTAAGCATGATCTTTTCCAGCTCCATCCAAGTTGCTGCAAAAGACATGTGTTTCTCTTTTTTTGGTTGCTGGTAATATTCCATTGTATATATGTACCACATCTCTTTTATCCAGTCATCTACTTTCGGGCATTTGGGCTGCTTCCATGTTTTTCCAATTGTAAATAAAGCAACAATAAACATGGGGTACAGGTATCTTTTTCAATCAGTGTTTTTGTGTCTTTTGGGTAGATACCTAGGAGTGGGATTGCTGGGTCGTAGGGAAGCTCCATGTTTAGCAGTTTGAGGAACCTCCAAACAGTTTTCCATAGTGGTTGTACTAGTTTGCATTCCCACCAGCAGTGCAGGAGAGTTCCTTTTTCTCCACATCCTCGCCAACATTTGTTGTTGCTAGTTGTTTGAAGATGTGGCATTATCACTGGGGTGAGGTGGTATCTCATTGTGGTTTTAATTTGCATCTCCCTTATTACAAGTGATGTTGAACATTTTTTCATATGCTTGTTCATTCTACAAATCTTACCTCATTATAATGATTGAGCCTAACCCTTGGCTCTGAAAGTAAATTATTCTGCTTGTAAAATCTCTGGCCAGCTTATACACAGAGATGTGGGGCTACTATTATATGTACGCATTAATTCAAATTGGTAATGAAGCACTCCAGTGGCCATTTCCTTGCTCCAAGATCATTGACTTCTTCCCTAAAACTCTAGTCTCAGAAGGATTAGGATTAGGGTAAGAATACATTTTGTATTGCTACTTACCATATGCCTTTACTGATAGTAGATAAAATTTTACATTCAACCTCAGCAACACAATCAACTCTTATAATTTCCATTAAGTAACATTGTTTCTGCCAATAATGTTAGGTATTTTCAGTGTGATAGATAAATTGAGACACACAACTAATTTGTTTGTATAAGAAAGATATCTTTCTTCCACCTTTCCATGTTTATAATGTTCTTTTTTATTCATCTTATAAAATAAATGCCTCTAATTTAAAACCAGTTTAAAACATTTTTGGAAAAAGAGTACTGAAAATTTTATTTGATTTTAATATTTAAAGAGCTGGTCATTGATATCACCCCTATCCTAAAGATAAGTAGAATTCTTTCCAGAATTACAGACTTGTTTGAATAATCATTTTGATTGAATGAAAAAGAATATTTAGTTGTATGTAACCTGTTAGAAAGACAAACAAATAAATCCCTGTAAGAATAGATCATGGGTGTCCTGACATTTCCTAAGGACAGACTGCCATGTTCAATAATTCATTGGAACACTCTTTGTGCCTGTAACTTCACAGAGAAGTAGCATTTAAATAAACATTCTTGCATGTATCTATAGAAATCCTTTTCAGCTCGGGCTGTGTCCCGCTCCCATCAAAGGGCAGAACACATCCTGAAGAACTTGCAACAGGAGGAAGAGAAGAAACGTCTTGGTCGAGAAGCCAGCCTCATCACCGCTATTCCCATCACCCAGGAGGCTTGCTATGAACCTACCTGCACACCCAACTCAGAGCCAGAAGAAGAAGGTGCCCTCTAGATATGGGACTCCTTGGGGGAGTGGGGTTAGGGGCTGAGTCACAGGAAAGGGGAAAGACTGGGATTGAAATAAACAATTGATGACTTTATGGAGGAAGCAAGATTTTTTTTTTTTTAATGTTAGAGTTGGCCTGTTTTTAGAGATGGATGTTAGCCACAGTGAATGAGCCAATGTGGTAATGCCCCAAGCAATGACTATGATTAAGAGAACTGGTAGACCAGTGCATATAAAAACAGTGTAATCGATCTTTAATTATTCAAACATGTTAGTTTTAATAGTCTACTAACTAATTTAGGTTAGTCAACTAACTAATTTCAACCCTTACAAAGTTAGACAATCTGTTGGTTTTTATCAGAATGAATTATGAACCATTCCAAATTCAGTGATTCCTCTGCTTTTTGGAACCTTTGAGAGAAATGTCTCTTATTCTCTTTAGGTTTTTTTTTTTTTTGCCCCCTTTTCATCTACACTCCAAATTCCTTAAACAGACACATATACACTGAAAGTATAATTCTAGTTGCTGATAATTTTTTTATTATAAAACCAAAGTTCACATTCCCCATTTTCTTTGCCAGTAGAAGAAGTCACCAACCTGGCATCCCGCCGACTGTCTGTTAGTCCATCCTGCACCTCCAGCACCTCCCACAGGAATTACTCCTTCCGCCGGGGGTCCGTCTGGTCTGTGCGTTCGGCTGTCAGCGCGGAAGGTGGGTGGTCCTGCACGTGTATCGTTACTTCTCATCACGCAGCTGTTCCACTCTTGTTCCAGTTTGCTCCATCCTTGCTGAGTTCAACCTCGTTATTGTATCTGTTACCAAAAGTAGAGTCAGAAAGTCTCCAATGACTATTACCAAATTGTTCATTTCTTCCTTCAGTTCTACCAGTTTTTGTTTCCTATAATCTGGGCTGCTATTGATAGCTGTATATGCACTGTAATTGTCATGTCTTCCGAGAGATTGACCCTTTTGCTGTTATTCTTTCTCGGCCTCTGAGTTATTTTATCTTACAGTATATTTTGTCTGATGTCATTCCTGCTTTGGTTAGTATTTCTGCATCTAATATTTTTTTCTAATCGACTTACAATGTATTTGGATCTTTAAAACTAATGTATGTATCTTATAGACAGCATACTTTGTTTCTTTCCTATTTTGCTTCTTTTAATTCATGCTGAGTTCTATCTTTTTGGTGGGAGCAGTTAGTGCATTTATGTTAAATATCATTATTAATGAGGTATCTTCCATCTTAAATATGCAACATACAGTATGAAAGATAGTTTCTTTTCATCTTTGAACATACTGGTAATTCATTTTAATCTTTTGTCTAGTAAGTCTAACATCTACAGTTTTACAATTCTTAGTCCTGTATATGGGCCATATTTTATTGATTGTTTGCACACCTCATACTTTTTTTTATTTAAAGTAGACATTATCAATACTATAAAGGGACCATTTGAGCAAATCATATGACCTCTTCTTTCTCAGGGACTAATTCTGTAATAACTGTGCTTTGTGAAGTTTTAACTAAAAATTCTGATCAGTTGCAGTAGTCAGCTAATGATTGAACAGAGTTTTTCTTAGTACCTTGAAATAATCAGTGTCCCAACTTTTGCTAATTGAGCACTGTGGGTGTTTGAGGGTACACTCTCAAAGCTCTATTCGTTTAAAAACATTACCTTAGCCTTTATTGTTCTTTGTGCTTATGCCTAGTCACAAGGTCAGCCAAAAGTGAGAGGCAAGAGCCTTCCAGGTCTCTCATGCACAGCCCTTCACATGCATGTCTTACCCAGGTATATACTGGAATTTGGCAAAATCCCTGGATTATTTCAAAAGTCCTGAAGAAGTTTGTTTTGACACATTTTAGCTGTGTTTTTATTGCTTTAATGGAGAGGTACCTTTTCAAAGGTCCTTACTCTGCATCCTATAAATACTCCTTCCACATAATAGATATTCAAAATATTTCCTCATGAATCTATTGTAAAGTCAAGGCTGAGAATGATTTAACAAGTCTCCTATCCTCCAACCTTTGTTAGGCCCTCTAAATCACAAATAACCACATCAATTGCAATATGAAAATCATAGATTCACATAATTCTTTTGTGCTTTAGAAAAATGAAATAAATTTCATATCAGTAAGTGTTCAGTACCTTTCTCCCTTTCCTTGCCTACTAATACAAACTTTCCCTTTACTACATATAAAATTCCATATTTCATTATATTTCTCAGTGAAGATAAACATATCAATATAGTCTTTATTCAATATCTTTATTCTAATTGTGTTTTCTGTACCACATATTAGTGCTTATCGGCTCTTATATATTCACATACACATAACCAGTTGCTGCCAATTTAGTATCTATGAAAAATGTCTTAGACTCCATTGGGATTTTATCTTTTCTGACTTAACATTGTGAGTTGATCCACTTGCTCCAGAATGTCTGTGTTTCTCTTATGCTCCAAAACAAGAAGAATGTCAGGACTTGGGAGGTGGGTTGTTTTGGTGTTTGTTTAATGTGGAGAGGCATTCTGTACAGCTTCACCATTTAAAAGTTCTAGCATATTCTTATTATATTGCTAGGATTGTGCTATTGAACTGAGGAACATGATTGCAGTAGAATTACAATACTGACTAGAGCACCTGATTTCAACTCTTCCTTCAGATGAGGAGCACACCACTGAACACACTCCAAACCACCACGTGCCTCAGCCTCCACAGGCTGTGTTCCCAGCATGCATCTGTGCAGCCGTGCTCCCCATCGTTCATCTGATGGAAGATGGGGAGGTGCGGGAAGATGGAGTAGCAGGTACATTTTGGCTCTCAAAACCATCAGTGACTTTTAAAAATATTTACAGAAGACAATGTGGGTTCTCCTGAAGATATTATGGGTACATGTTATATGTACATGTTATAAATGTAGATTGTAACACGGTAATACTATCACTTTTTCCCATGTCCTCATCCTACAAGCCCAAGAAATTGCATTTAAGACAAACATGTGTGCACATTAGAAATCACATTCTTAGGAGGAAGTTAACATAAAATATGTTCATTATATTGCTTAATAAAATCTGAAAGTCAAAGTGTATTTTCTATATGATATTACTTAGAATACATGAAATATATATTTCATGTGTTTGAAAGATATGCTCCAAAATCTTTGTAGTTGTTTCTTTGATTGGCAGACTTAGCAATATAATTTTTCTTTGTCTTTTCCTACATTTGTTATGTGTTAAACATTAAATTCTTAAATATACTATAAAGATAACTTTAGGGCTCTCCCTGGTGGTGCAACAGGTTAGGACGAAGCACTGCAAGCTGGGCGCAGCCGACCTCTCTTGACCCGCCCACTGCTCCCCTGAGCAGTATACTTCATTAATCTGCCTGTTCTGCTCCCCACTCTGTCTTCGGTAAAGCCTCTCACCGCCCCTGCACTTCTGGCTTTTACCCCAGTTCTATATGAATAAATAAATAAATCTTTTAAAAAAAAAGATACCTTTAACTAATTTCAACATAAATAAAACCCACACCTATTTACTTATAAAGATACTTGAAAACTGCTATCAAAAAGACCACAAACAATAAGAGTTGGTGAGGATGTGAAGTAAAAAGAATCCTCATATACTGTTGATGGGAATGAACAGTCCCTATGGAAAACAGTATGAAGATTTCTCAAAATATTAAAAATGAATCTATCAGCCCTCCATGGAGGTGCAACATATTAAAGCACAACACTGGAATGCAGCCATAGTCACTTTAGTGTGAATTCGATCCCCAACCCCAAAGGTGACCCACATGGCTCTACAGACCACTCCAGACCCACCCAATGCTCCCCTCAGCAGTGTACTTCATCTATCTGCCTGTTTTGCTCCCCACTCTGTCTCTGGTGAATCCTCTCGCTGCCACTGCTCCTCTAGCCTGAACCCCAGTTCTATTTGCATAAATAAATATATCTTTTTAAAAATAGAATCTATCATATGATCTAGCATTATCTACCATATGATCTAGCATTATCTACCATATGATCTAGCATTTCCATCCTAGGTGTCTATACAAAGAATATACTTATTTAAACAGACATATAACTCTCTTTGAATTCAAAGAGATATGTTTGCTGTGGCACTATTTACAATAGCCAAACTATACCCTAAGTGCCCCCTAAACAGATGTGTAGATCAGAAAGATGTGATACACACACACACACACACACACACACGGTATAGTACTCTGCAACAAAAAATATAACCTTTTGCCATTTATAACCACATGGATGGACCTAGAAGGAAATGTGCTGAGCAAATAAATCAGAAAGGGAAAGACAAATACAGTGTGGTCAGTTATATGTAGCATTTAGGGAAACCAAACAAAGGGTCAGATAAATCCAAACCAATACCAAGCCCTAGGAATTTGACTATAGAAATGAGAATATCAGAGAAAGAGGAGGGGAAAGAACTAAGTGGACAAGGAGCACAGTAGTGAAGGACTATGGTGTTTTGGTAATGAGTGTGGTGTGGTAGCAGCTCCTGGAAAGAGAGATCTCTACCTCTAAATCACAAATAATATTGTAAATAGGATCCTTAAGTTGTTACCTAGAAAAAAAAAGAAAATTAAAATTTATAGTTGTATCCACTTCCAGCCAATATTAACTTGACCACTTTCCCCAAAGTACTTTTTTCACATTAGGTAGTTGTTTAATCTTAAACCTTCCTTAGAAACTCTATTTGTAAGTATGAGCATATTATTACTAGATCTACACTTTATCTCACTAAAGGAGATACTCTTTAAACAGGAAACAGTAAACATATATAATTCATAATTCATTCTAAACCAAAGCATATTTTTCTAAAAACAAAATAATTATTTTAGGAATCTCTTCATATAGCAGACAATAAAATAGGAGTTGAATTAACACCACTGGTAGTATTAAACAATTTCCAAAGAAAATTTCACAAAGGTGATGTTTTATTTTGAGATATCATTGCCATATAACATTGTGTTCATTTTAGATGTATAATTTATTACAGTAAGTTTGGTTAACATCCATCACCACATATTTAGTTACAATTCTATTCTTTTAGCAATTTTCAAATACATGGTTTGAAAGGATAGTCCACTTAGGTCTTGACCTTCTTCCTCCTCTGATAGTCTCAGTATATTATATTCTCAGAATTTAATAATTATTTCCTTTATAATTGGAAATTTGTACCTTTTTGCTACATTTTCTCATGTCTCCCAACTCAGTATCTCCAGTCTGGTAACCACTAGCTTTTTTTCTGTACATGTAGAATCTTTTAGATTCCACATACAAGTGAGATCACACAGCAGCTGTCTTTCTCAGTTGGACTTACCTCACTTTTCATAATGCGTCCAAGTCCATCCATTTGTCAGAAATGGCAGGATGCTCTGCGTTTCGTATGGCTGAAGGATATTCCATTACACATCACAAGTATTTTCTTTACAAATATTAGTGCCTAAAGACTACTCTCTACCTTTTATTATAAATGCAAATGTTCAGAAACAACAGCAAAGAGAATGAATATCTACCTTCCAATAGAAAAAGTTGTCAGAACCTTTTTAAGGGACAAGGAAGACTTGTTAAAGTTATATAAATTTTTGTGAGCACTTTATCAACTAAACTTAATGTCCATTTAAGACAAATAATTCCATTTCCTTTTTTCTCTAAAGTAAGTGCCGTGGCCCAGCAAGTTTTATGGAATTGTCTAATTGAAGATCCATCGACAGTTCTAAGACATTTCTTGGAAAAACTGACCATCAGCAATAGACAAGTAACTTTTTCTTTCTTTATAGTGTAACTGTGACAATGTATGTAAAAGCAAGCACTGGACTTCATAGTGCTTTGTCCCCAACATTAACATCCTCTGGCACTTAGCCAACATGTACTTCAGATGATGTTCAAGGTGCACGTGACTGAACGGGGCTGTTTCCTTTGTAATTGCTCCTTATGAATACTGTGCAATGCTGGTGAGGACCCTAAATTTCCAAAAGATGCTTCGTTTCTTAAACAAGATTATGGACCCCATGACACTCTATTACTGTGTACATTTGTTGATTTTTCACTTGCCTGATAGTCTATGATCCAGGTAGGATTATTACAATATTTTGGAATTCGCCCCCCCGCCCCGGGTGGCACAGCGGGTTAGGACACAGCACTGCAAGCTAACCACAACCGCATCAGTACAAGTTCGATCCCCACTCCAGAGGTGACCCACATGGCATGGCAGACCTCTCCTGACCTGCCCGCTGCTAACCCTCAACAGTGTACTTGGTCCAACTGTCTGTTCTGCTCCCCACTCTGTCTCTGGTGAATCCTCCCATTGCCACTGCACCTCTGGCCTGTACCCCAGTTCTGTATGCATAAGTAAATAAATAAATCTTTTAAACAAAAAGAATATATTGGAACTCTCCATTAATGAAAGATTCTAATTTACCAAACTCCCTTATAAAATAGTATGCCAAATAAATGTAGTTTCCTGAGCCATGGCAAAATATACTGATGATTACAAAATATACTGATGATTTTTTATTTCTTTTATGAAAATATTTTCAGTGGAACAGTTAGTTTCTGAAAGGTAAAGCTATTTACAGACATCTCAGTTTATTCTCTCTGGGCCCTGTTTTATCTCCTTGACTTGGAAAGTAGAAAGCAGAATTATGAGGCTCAATAAATTTGATTTATTTTATGGTTTCCCAGCATAGGAACTCGTCACATTTCCATCACATCTGGCAGCCACAGCAAATAGAATTGAATTAATATACAGTTTTCCTGTGATTTACCTCTGACATATAGCACAGATTACTTTCTTATTAAAAAAAAAAGTGTAGGATAAGGTGTGACAATGGAGGAAATACCAATGAACATGGATTAAATACAGTGTATTAAAATGGATAAACATAATAGAAATCAACATGTAGCAAAAATAAGAAAATCTCCTTCCTTCCTCCCTACTAACATCCAGCCTTTCAAGAAATTCATTTCACTTCCTACAGTATGATAGCTGAATGAGATGTGGAAACTCTTTCCTTCTTTCAGGATGAGTTAATGTACATGCTACGCAAGCTTCTCTTGAATATTGGAGATTTTCCCGCTCAGACGTCTCACATCCTATTCAACTACTTGGTAAGTTTCAACCACCAGTAGGTCATAAGTGTTCATTTGCAAGTAGGAGGAAGCAACATGAGAATGAAATCTTTGGAAATATTTAAATATAAGTTCCCGTCAATTATGTAACTAAATGTGGTTAGCGTTTAAGTAAATTCTCTGTCTACATGGGGAGGCCCCTCCTGGCACAGTCCTTGCCGTGTGGTAGCACCCAATAGATGCCAGTTTCTTCTCTGTCTTCCTTTAGCAGTATGCAGCTCTCTTATTAGTCCTCAACTTTAGTGTTCTGTTAAAAAACATGTTACTGGGCCCTCCCTGGTGGCTCAGTGGGTTAGGATGCAGCAGTGCAAGCTGGCCACAACCACTTCAGTGCAAGTTTGATCCCCAGCCCCAGAGGAGATCCACATGGCGCGGCAGACCTCTCCTGACCTGCCCACTGCTCCCCTCAGCAGTGTACTTCATCAGTCTGCCTGTTCTGC